CTCGATCCCAGGACCCTAGGATCATGACCTGAGCCGAAGGCAGTCGCTCAACCGACTGAGCCACCCAGGCGCCCAAGTTTAATAATTTTTAAGTGAGTGGCAAAATGTTTTAAGTATCTTGGGTCAATTAACTTATTATAAACTCGTATCTCCCATCTTTTTAAAAACAAGCTGGACTAAAAGGCTGCCTACCTGTACTTATACACTACCACTATAATACACAAATATAGATTTAGGTCTTCCTCCTTCCTTAGTAAAAATTTCCTTCTGTGAGTTGACAGTTTTTAACAACTATTATAAAAAGTCTTATTTAACCTATTTATTGCAGAGTTTACTTTTAAATATTTATATTATGGTTCATAACTGACTTTTTCTAATATAAGTGACTAATTCTCTTTAATCTGACCCTGCTAGTGTAAATAATATGAAACTTTTATCTGATCTAGTTTTCTATCAACACAGGTCAATATACAATCTTCCTTTACCTTTTTTAGCTTTTTCTTTGCAGCTGCCGAAGCACCGGCATTTCCGTCTTTTTTCACAGCTTTGTCCGAAGGTTCCTTTTTCCCATCAGAAGCCACATCACCTAAATTAGCAAGATCTGTCTCATCTCCCACTGAACTGCCACTTTCTAGCAGTGCTGCTGCTTCTTCTTCATCTACAAGTAGCTCATCTTCAGATTCAAGAAGCATGTTAGGTTCTTGCTCAGCTTGGTCATCCTTTGTATCTTTTTCACCATCTTCACCTGACTTCTCTTCTTGTTCTTTACCTTCAGTTGTACTTTCAGTCTTCTGGGAACCATCAATCTTGGATTTCTTATCGCTTGGAGATTCTTTGCCATCTGGAGAATAAGATCTTTTCCTGAAATCAAAAGGATACCCCCTCAATTAATTCTCCTGAGTTGGAAAACAAAAGGTGAATATACCAGTATATATACACACACAAAATGAAATTACCGAGATTTATCTTTTTTCAGTAAGTCAATGCCTCTGTTGGGAATCTAAAAGACAAAATTTTGTATCAGTGAAATAAATGTATTAGAATATGCTCATGTGCAGATTATATAATTATGCAATTAACTAATAGTTGAGGAACATTCTTTTTATCAACTAAGCTTATTCAATCCCAGTAACCATACCTAAGAATGTAAGTAAGCAGTTCATTACAATCAACATTTCAACAGAGCATAGAGCAAGTGGATAGGAAGTATTTTGGTAGCAGAACTCAAGTTCAAATAAAATCTTAAAATAGATAAAAGCAATAAAGGCATTTTTAACGTAATATCATCAAAAAAACAACAACAAATTCTACTGAAGAATACCAGGGGAAAAATGTTGCTATCTTTAAATAACCAAACTCTATATTCTTAACAAATAAAAGTATTTAAGAATGTCGTGGCTTGAAATATGTGAAACAAGCTTTATAACGATGACAAATCCATTACTACATACCCTCAGTACCAATTTTTTATATTTTTCAGACAAGTCTACTTTCACACATCTCCCCTGAAACCAAAGGGCCTTTTTCAAACAGTGGTCAACCATTGCCATTGCATCTTCCCTGGTCTCCATCTCAATAAAGGCCTTAAAAAAAAGGAAAAAAAAAGCAATCAGCTTACAAGATATTACTTAATACTGTAAGAAAAAATTAACTTAAAAAGTCTGGAAAGATACAAACTCTAAATGCCATATACAAGAGTTAACAACAAAATAAAGATGCTTTTTATTTTTACTCTGAATTTTTAAAACGAAAAATCACAAGTGATTATAAACTGGTATTTTTTGCAGACCAATTTGGCAGTATCAAAGTAAAGAAAGTATGAGGATACAATATTCTAATTCTGAAATTTATCCTTCAATTATATGATACAAATATGTAAAAATGTATATGCTGCCAAGTCCATAGCACCAATGGTACAGTCCAAAAACCTCTAAATATCCATCAACTCAGGAAGTTAAATTTGTTAGTTTACTCAATGGAATCACATATAAAGTGGAAAGCAACAGTATAATGTAATACCACTTGAGGCAAGGAAGAAACAGTATACCTACATACACACACGGGGAGATTTTTTTGGATGCAAACTTGGAATACCATCTTTACTTTCACTTTATAGTTTCTCAGTATTTACTAACTGTTCTACACACTGAGAATCTACTGTGACTTAAAAAAATATCATTTATCAGGCAAGGAAAATTTAAAATTTATCTGAGAAGATAATTATTCTCCCTTTATTAAAAATGAAGATACACACAAAAAACCTTGAAGCACTGAGAAATAATCTTAAAAACTCATTTTTATTTTTTAAGATTTTATTTATTTGAGAGGGAGAGAGTGAGAGAGCGCATGAGAGGGG